CGCAATAGAATATAAGATAGTAGCCTTAAGGGGCAGCGAGGAGGAAACTCCTTTTAGGGAAATTCCGCTTTAGGGCGTTTCCCCATCGAACATCCCTCTGAAGTTTTCCTCCAGGACTCTACAGGGATCCAAGGATGAGGAGAACGCCAAGAAAAGGTGCGTATGCCCTCAGGGCTTTCACCTTAAATATGAGGTTTGGATTGGTTTCTGGATTGGAAATGGCTTATTTTGGCCATTTTTTCAGGATTTTGCCTGTTTTTGGCATTCCGATCATTTCTGAAAGTTTTTACTCAATTTTTCTGGAATTTTTTGTATCTGAAGTTGAAACTTTTGAACTCTCGAAAAGTTCTCACGTCTCAAGCTCGTTTTTACGTGATATTTGTCGCCAAATTTGTCGTAAAATATCCCTAAAAGGTCACAATCTTACAAAAAACTGTCAATTTCTTAACAGTTTCACGTAAATTTCCAAATTTCCTCAGGGTTTTGGGGGAATAGGAGAAAGTATAGCAGAGCCTGGGGGCACGTAAATGCTGCTGGGCGATAGTCGATTGTCAAGCGCGGAGTCTGTTCTTGCGCACTATCTGTTCCTGGAAACCGCTCGTATTGGGCTAGGCGCCCCATATTGGGAGTTCTCCTGGATGGGTGGGAGTAGTTGCGGTGTTGAAACAAAACGTCTTAGCCATCGGCGGAGATCGTTTGTCTTTGATTTGCTAGCGGAGATGTTAGGAGAGAGAGATAGAGAAAGAGAGAGACAAGAAGGGATAGAGAGACATTATGAGAGAGAGAAGCAGGAAGAGAGAGATAGTGACAGGAAGAGACGGGTTTCTCCGATCACCGCCCCAGGCACCGACTAACTAATCTATCCTAATAGATGAGAACCAAATCAGTGCTGTTCAAGAGACGCTGCGCGGTTTTTCTGGAATGGAGTGGAGAAATCACTTCTCCAGAGGTGATTTCTCCAGAGTCTGGAGAGGTGATCTCATATTGACTGCGCTAGTGTGACATTTTGTTCAGGGACTTGGCGCTAGAAATTTTTCAGTAACATGACGTCAATAACAGTGATGTCATGAATAGAATTCATACAGTAATCTCTCTTGTTAGAACTCATGGAAATCCATCAAAAAGTGAATTTTTTTGCGATTTTCTTTTATGCTGTCTAGAATTTTTTAGAACTTCCTTCTCGGATATTGTAATCCTAAACTAGATCTACAACATATGGTAGAAAAAGTTCTAGAAAGCTCTCAAAAATATCAAATAAAACTGCATTCATCTTCGATAGCTTTTCCATGGGCTCCGATTAGAGAGAATACGGTACTTGGACTATGAAGAAGAATGCAAGGTGACACGAAGGATGCACCAGATATATTAACAACAAAAAACTCGAGAAAAATGGAGACTCAGAAGTGCTACTAATTTTACTATGCACATTTTAATCTACCTTTTTCTCGAAGTTTTTCCTACTCGATGCAACATCTGATTATTATATTATGACCATATATGATATAAGAACTTTTAAGCTTCAACTGCTGGAACATTCAGATTTTTTGATTTTCGTCAAAATTCCAAATTTTTGTCAAATATTTTTTAAACAGATTGCGATCCCAAGCGCATTTGTCCCTGAAGCCCATATAAGAGCCATAAAAAAGTTTTCCTTTGCGTAATATGGATTGGAAATTTGAATTTTTCTAAAAATTTTGCTATTTTTGGCCAATTTTATCCAATTGATCCCAATCCCGAAAAGTCTGGCTTGGTCAAAAAAGTCAATATTCAAGATCGTAACTCCAAAAAATTTCTGCTCCGAATCCACGTGGCTCTAATTGATAAAAACTTATGATTGAATCCATGAAAAATTTGCTTTTTCAAAATGCTTTGATCGCATTAGTGTTTGTTTCTCGACTATCTCAAGACAAAAGTATTTGAACGCACAAAATTGTACAATGAGTGCTTTTGGCGAATGCTTTCTTCTTTCTCGGACCACCTAACCACTTCTCGCTGGTTTTGCGCGAAATTTGCGCTCTCCAGAGCAGCTTCAGGATGGAAGTTCCAGGATGGATTGTCTTGTGAAGAGATATGAGATAACTGTTGAGTTTCCTGCGGCGCCCAGACAAACGAGCAGTCCGGAGGAGAGCCCATTTCGTCTCTTTCCTTTTATGGGATAAGGCTTTGTCTTCGCTGTTATTTAACGAAGTGCTCTCTTCCTAAGACAATGGGCGATTGAATATCCTTACGTGGAGGATTTGTGAAGTCTTGACGAAATCGGAGGATTTGTAGTTTGAACATGGATCAGGGAGAAGAGCATTGTTTGTGGGGAATAATAAATTCAACATCACGCAATGCATTGTTCAGATTGAATACTAAACTAATCACAGGCCTTACAACGTTGCGAAAAAAAGAAAATCGATGTGTGTGGTCCTTCGAAAAAATAACGGAATAAGTCGAATACAGTATTACCACTTGAATAAGCCCATGGGCACTGATCTGAAAAATCGGAATTTTTTATCTCGGTTTTCTTATTTTAAAGATATTTTCCAGAATATTTTAGTAATCGATACCTATGTGAATCGACGTCAACAATATTCTAGAAAAAAGAACAGAAGATTTTTGAAAATATCTAAGAAAATAAATTTTACACAGCAACTCCCCCTTATATAAATGTAATGCTCTTTTCCATTCTAGACATTGAGAAGCAAAATTCAAGATCAAAAAACAGCACCATTTTCTGCAACATGCGTGTTGAAAAAATAAAGAATCTGATTTTTTTGCATTTTCAGAAAAACATGTTTTTAGGCGTAATTTGAAGGGCTAGGCGCTAATTTGAGGTTAGTTTTTGGTCCTGGTGCGACTGTTGGCCAGTTTTTGGTCATTCAAAGCACAATTATGCCCTTTTCTCGAACAGGTGCTGAAAAATGGCTCGATTAGGTTCTTTAAATGATGCAAACGTGACCAAAAATCGCGTCAGAACTAAAAAGGTAACCTCAAATTAGCTCAGCGCATCGAAGGATCCCTAAAACGTACTTTTCTAGGAATCGAAAAATGTTTGGATTCCTATCAAATGTCGCTTTAAAGTGAGCCTGGAAACAGTGTTTGCATTGATCAATTCCAGACAATTACAAAATACCAAACAAATTTTTTATTTTTTCCATAAAAATTTGCTATAAAATTATTCAAACTTTGAATGTCCAGTCCAAAGCCGCCTGAACAATTATTATTTTTTGCTTCCACAGCCGTGGATTTCTTTGTTTTGCCTTCCGTTGTTGCGATACATTCCCGCCCTTCATTTGGCGCTCATTTCAAATGGGCGGAAAATAGTCGTCGCCCTGCCGCCTCTAAACAAAGCAGGAGGCCAAACGCCGGCTATTTAGAGGTCAATGCCCTATATGGTCACCCTTGGCGACACTGCACACCGTTTAAACAGCGGATATTGTGTATTTATGATGCTGCCTTGTTGGGATTGGCGACCTGCCCGGACATATGGAATATCATATCCAGAAACACCTATCGAGCCAGAATCTCATAGATTCGAAGATTTATCCGGGAGTTACCGTTATGGTGAAAAATTTAGATAATGGACCAAGATTGTAAGGTAGGAAGATTATAAGGATTTATCCAAAAAAAATTTTCTATCGAGCTTACTTCGAATTCAAGAAGTGTTCTGTCTGTTGTCGCGATTTCACCGTTTTCCTGCCATTCTGGCATCCTGGTTTTACCTCTTTTAGAAGGAAAGTGTCTTGTTTTTCTAGAAATTTACTTTTTTATGATAAATGTGACACCAAAAGGTTTTTTCCATTCTGCGCAAAATCTTTTTCAACTTTCTAACCATCTTTCATGTTCTAAAAAATTATGAGGTAATCGATCCCAGAAACACCAATTCTGGAAGCTGTAGCCCTTGTGCTAAAAATACAAATCCAACCTCCGTCCAAATCCTGAAACTCATCCTGAAAATTTATCCTATGGAAACAGGGCTGTCACCAGCAGCTTTCCATGGGACAATGCAAAGCGATAACCTCTCCCGGTGCCCAAACGAGTCACTGCCGCAATACGCCGGGAATGACAATTGAATATTAAGTAGCGGGACTGCTGGACATATGGCTTTGGGGCACAGTCGTTGGCCATGCAAATTAGTTGCCATTCAGCAGTCGGGGCAAGTATTACCAATTATCCTTGTTTTAGAGTGTTTTGTGGTTATTAATGATCCACAATATGTTGCCAAGTTTCGATTTTGTATGGAAAATCCTGGGAAACTACATTGTTTTACAATTGTTCAAGAATTGCTTTTTTTGTTAACATTTGCTTGGACTTGTTATCTGCGAACAAAATTTTTGACCATAGTTTGACTTTGAAAATGGAAAACCCACTTTTCCAATCATACCAAAAAATCTGGGAGCCATAGCTTGTCAGGATGAAAATCCCCATTTGAGGAAAAGTTGGTAAGAGGTTGGCCCAAAAAACCCAGAAAATCGAAATTTCGGGTTACGTTTTGCCTAATGTCGGAAAGTCCGAAAATTTTTGTATAAGGTTACAGAAATTTTCTATCAACACATTGGCCACGGAAAAAATATTTGAAATGTTTTTGCTGTGCAGCAAATAAGACAAATAACTACCAAAATTTTCAAATTTTGCAAGATCCAGACACATTTTGGGGGAAAAGCTAGCAAAAACTAATTTTTAAACATTTCTTTTATGAAACTCTCTACAGAAGCCACCCCAATAAGCGATCCCCAGTTATTGAACAATTGAATTAAAAATTGGATACAAGAAAAAGATATTTAGATACAAAAAAGTTTTGCCCGACAGATAAATAGTATGTGTTAGAGAAAAATTTCTCCAATATAAGCCCGATTTGGAAGGTAATTGAATTGAAGCCCGGGGGCTTCAATTATAAAAAATACGGTGTTTAAAACAATTTATTCTTATTAAGCAACCCTTTGGAGCCAATAATTTTGCCTTGGCCCAAGTTAAAGCACAAGAAATAGAATGAATTAAACGAACAGCTGTCAGTTACCTCCGTAGTTCAGTAGTTAGAACGCCGTACTTATAAGTAAACGGAGATATGCGGATGTCGCGAGTGCAAACCTCGCCGGAGGTATTCTTTTTTCCTCCCTCCATATCGAATATATTCACAGTTTTTAGCTTTATTTTGACGTTTTTATTTGTTACTAATTTTTATTTTCACTTTTCCGCTATAAAACTAATTTTTCTCAGCTGTCAATAGCGCGTTACGTGAATGAAAATGGCTTCATTTTACCATTTTTGGGCTATTTTTACTATGTTGGCTATGAATCTGATATTACTGACTCTACCTCAACTTTTTCTCTAGTTCCCAACACTTTTCTCAAATTTTTGAATTCGCGCCAAAAAGTGTCTATTGGCTGTATATATTTTCCTTCCATCACTCCGCTCTGGAAGAATGGATGAAATATTGTATAAATTTGACATTTTTAGAATTAAATTTTTTTAAACATATAGAAAAAAGATAAAAGTTGAGATGCTGTCAGTAATATTTGACTGGCCCAAGTGAAAACTGGCCCAAAAGTGGCAAAGGATTAAAAACCAAACTATACTATAGTTTTTTCACTGATATTTGCATCACTGTGCATGGCTGATCCCGTAACTAATTCCCTTCTAGACTTTACTAATTTTTAGTCTGACCATATATTTTATTGCCCAATTTGTGGCCCGAAATTTCCCTCTACTTTTCAAAGCGCACTTTGCTCAATTCCATTTGCATACAATATCTTCCACTATTTGCGCACATATCATCAATCCCACGAGTGACCATTCAATAGACTTCGGATGGGAGCTTACTGGTAACCTGATACCCTACCTTCTTTGTCCACATATAGTCCAAATATTGAGCTCAATTCGGTTCTGGTAAATATATTCAACAGATTCAAAGCAATTTTGAATTTTATACTCCCGAATTTTATCTGGAGGCTATTTTTGCAACTGCAAATGAAACACATTGGCAGTAAGATAATATCTTTGAAAAACTATAGTATAGTTTGATCAATTATAGCATAGCTTTTTATAGATATTGATCCCTTCTGACCAGTGCTCCTGGAACATTCTAGAAGGGCGAATGAATCAGTCAAAAGCATTGATTTTCTGCATTAACCTTCTAGAATGTTCCAGAAACAGTGATCCGAAGCAGCAATTTCTATGAAACGCTATGTTATAGCTTACCAAACTATATATAATTTTTCATGGATAATGACCTCACTGATCTTTTAGTCCAGCCGAGGATTTTAAACTCCATAAATGGAATTTTTTTTGCAAAACGTACCATTTTTCTCTATTTATGACTCATACCACCTGCACTTTTAATTCCCTCATAAATTTTCCAATAACATTATGCCCAAAGTCAATAACCTGACCCAGCCGGATCCATATACGGCACTTATGCGCATCCTTAGTCTCCGAAACGAGACTAATAAACAGGGATGAGAGCGTCTTACCTATTTTCGGTTGCCTTCTTTCTCGCTTAATTAAAAGAAGCGCAATGCTCAGAGCGCTTGCGCTTTGGCACTGAGAGGGTGGGCAGATAACGGTCCAAGAGAGGAGATGGTTCCCATAGGTTAAAAGGAAAATGTATGAAGAGAAGTGGGCGCCGTTTCCTTTGGCACTTGGCCAAGATCAGAAAAGTGCCGATTCGAGAGTCAAAGGTAAGAGGCTCAAAAGAAAATTTGTTTACAGTCAAGTCTTGATAAAGCGATCCCGTCTGAACTGACCTCAGGGGTTGTTTTTCGAAAAGGGTTGCTTTACTGAGTCAAAATTTGTATGGAAGTTTCTCGCAAAAAATTTTTGTATCTAGAACACCTTTATCACTTTTATGTAATATTTTAAAGTACTTTTCTGTAATGTTCTAGAAGGTGCCCGAAAAGTAGATAGGAAGGAAAAATATTTTGGATGACCCCAGCAATTAATAGAACTGTTCTGGAAAAATTTTTTTTGCATTTTTAGCCTAGTTTTTGTCCGATATTCCCGCATGATATTTTTTCTGACCAGCTCCCGTAAAATATATTATCAGTCTGCCCGCAAGTCGGTATTGACGAGACGTTGCAGCTCAGGAGGAATTAATTACTGCGGTGAAGTGGGTATGCCCCACTCTGGAAGCCATCCCGAAAGGCATCCCTTGCATCCTGAAAGGCAATGCCCCAACTCGTCTCAGTACTCTCTCAGCGGTCTTTGTTTTCCGTTATGTGTGCGTTCGGCCCACCTCTGTGCCCAATTGGGCGGGTCGGCCGGCCTGTTTATCTCCAATTATTCCATGGACATTTGGAACCTGCCCGCTTGAATTCAGGAAGAGGCTTGAATTGACCGGAGGGAGAAGACCTTGGCGTCTTTTCCGGAATTTTATTCGTTTGATCAAGATAATTTGCAATTTTTGGGATCCTGGATTAAAATTATGCGGGAATTTAAATGTTTCAAAAATGTTGCTGTTTTCAGGATGCTGGATAAAAGATTTTACATTTTGGAACAAATTTTCAAGGCATTGAGGTTGAAAATCCTCCATACCTGAAATTTTTATTCAGTTTCAAAAATTTTTAGCATCGCTTTTTATCTCGCTTTTTTCCTAATTTTTGCAAGAAATTGCACCACTTTTCCATTTTTCGCTTAAAATGACAGATTATTGACTCCTTCCATAGGATTCTAGCAGGATCCATAATAATTCATCCTTAGTAAGCAATTCTAGAACATTCGTATATCTGAATATTCCATTCTGATTTTCTAGAAGATTTTAGAATCTTTATCCAAAATTTGACAAAAATCCGGAAAATTTTTCCGCTTCCTGGAAAAATCTTTCAAAAATAAAATAGCTGCACTTCTAGCAGAAAATTGCATACTTTGTTCAACTTTTCCAGTAAATTATCAATTTTCTGAAATATGTCCAATATTTTCAAAAATCCGTACATTTTCGCAATTGTTCTGTTCTTGTTTCAAACATTTTCTCTCATTCTCACACACCTTTACACACCTGCCCATTGTCTAATTCTCGATCTTGTCCGCCGCAAATTTTTACCCAATTAGTCCCCCAAAATTTGCGTTATCCTGAAAAGACTTGGATTGACCACAAGAAAGACAGAGGAGGATCCCCGCCGTCCATTCCTTTTGCCCATTTTCTGGATGGAAGCGTCCAATTTCCTACCCATGCGGCGGGTTTTGTCCAGCGGGTCCAGGATAGGGCCTTGTCCCGTTGCTTCTAGACGCCCGCATATTTTATATCCTGGAATAATTTATTTTTGGCTTTCTACGAAATTGAATAGCCAAGTTATTTTTTCGGACTAAGGAATTTGTCGGTAGCCGGGTGTATTAATTCTGGAAAATTACGTTTCTGGAAGAATTTTTGAAAAATTACAATTTCTCAAATAATTTTTTATAGTTGTCACTTTTGGGCATTTGCGGCGTTTGATGTCAAAAAAATTGATCCTCGTGATTTGCCATAAAATTTCTCTTATATGAATCCTTGGAATTGAATAAAGTTATTCATAACTCAATTTTATTTGTAACAATGCTCCAAATTTAGCCTATTGTTATATTAGAGGTCAGATAAAAGGACATTTTTGAAAGTCCCTCCAGAAAAGTTGCGATGTGTCTCGAAGTCATTTCCTATGATTCATAACTGTCCTTTGCTGACCTGCTGCAATTTATTTGCACTAACTAAATTCGCAACATTTGCACTTCCGGAGCCAATATTCCGACTCATATGCTCCTTTAATGAAATTAATTATGAGTGCGTGTGGTATCAAAGTAGGCTCCGAGAAATTTCTCGCACCGCTTCTCTAATCGCATTATTTTTTCTTTTATTGCTCTGACTCTAAACAGAATTTCCTGTCTTGTACTATGCTTTATATTGCCTATAAAGCAAAGCCAAAATTACCGTTACAAACTTGAATCGAAATGTTTCGAAAAATAAAACAACGAATTTTTCCAAAATTTATTCTAAAAATAAAAATTTCGAATATCTTATCACTAATTTCTAATTTTTTGCATTTTTTTTCTTTTTCCGGTTCGATTTGCCGATCGATTTTGCACTTTCCTCCGGTCCGGTGCCTGATCCTATTGTTTGTTATACCATTTGTTCTGTTCATTTTCACGACACAATATTGTTACAGGCGACATTACAGGTGCAAAGGAACATCAAAACAGTCAAGAAATGACAAGCGCCCACATATTGTTGCTTTTATTGCTGACATCCACGTACCGATGAGATCCAGGATACCATACCTGACCACTACCATATTTTCCTTCTACTTCCTTCTAGAACCTTCAGCTTTCGTCTCTGCACATCCACGACCAAAAAGTATTGACTTCAATCCTGGCTCTAATGATCCTGAAAACTGCACCAAATTCGACTCAAACTCTGGAAGAAATTATTCAGTGACGGCGAAATTCCTCACATTCCAGACATTCCTCAACTCAAATGCCTTGAGGCTATTCCAGCCGGCGATGGCTGAAATCACCGTAGATCCTGAAAATGTCACCCAAAATCCAGAAACTGAAGTGGCCTGCCTGGAACTGGACTTGGAACTCAGATATCGATCGGCGTTGTACTTTGTTCCCAAACCAATTATGGGCACGGAAATTGAGTTGGATTACGACGCCGAAGACGGCAGTCGGCTTTTGGCCAAAAGAAGGTTGAGAGCGAGGAGGAATATGAGCAGACGTGAAGTGGAATTTGACTGTTCTCTGTTTGTAAGACCCGGATTCTATAGATTGACTGTTAAGGGAGAGAATGAGGTTTGTCTTGAAGTTTCAGGATCGGAATCCTGAATTTTCTGTGGGTTTGAAATTTGGAGAAAATTTCGGGATGAGATACAAAATGAATTAAAACACAATCCGAGAATTTTAATTTGCCCAAAAATTAGGTCCGGATCCAGGAAATTCTAGGAGTTCAGAGAAAAATCTGAGAATTTTAGAAAAAATTTGGAAATATCGTTTGTCGCATATTTAAAAATTTGCATATTCTGAATTTTTTGTTTTTTTAAATAATTTTCCGAATTTTATCACAAGTTTTCTTCCAGAAATCCAGCGACTGGATCCAAATACCTGAGCCCAACACCGCTGAAGACACCTTGCCACACCTCC